GCATCTATACATCGACTTATCGTTGTCTTTGTTCCAATAGTCGCCTTCAAGCAGCATTACCTTCGAATGTACGGCCAGAAAATCGTGCAGAGTCCCTGTCTGGAAGGGAAGTCATCTGTTGGTAAGTACGGAAAACGAGTCATTTGCCCCGAGTCTACAGGTTTGCTCCATGCCGGGTCGCAATAAGACAAGACCTCGCAGCGAAAACTAGATGTTTATCAATAGTTATCATCAAGCCTTCGTATTCGCGCTTTACAAGAAAGCTTATTATTGAGTTCGCTGCCATGTGGGCGTTATCCGAAGATGACAGCGGTACGGGAGTAGCCGTATCGACCTCTCATCCTGACGACACATTGCGAAGAGGTCGGCCTGGGAAATCATTCAAGAGGTTGAGTCGGCCTAGCAAACCCTGTGAGACTCTAGGGAAGACGCTGCTGGTTCCCCGTGACCACTGGCAACAATCGAATCATTGAGAGTCCTTCACATCAATCCCTCCAGCCACCTCGAATCAAATCTACCTAGATTTTTTGATTCGGAATAGAGATATCGCTTTGCTGTGGTAGTTGCTGGATTGTAATAGTATGCTGCTGTTCCAGTATCTGAGCACCTATCAGTACTCACTTGTATCTTTGGTGAATACCCTGTCGAACCTAGTGGATTGAATATTTTCTTTAACTCACTAACCCAATCATCCGTCTCTCGGATTTCCATTATATTTTGTGGTCGAGCAGTCACGTCTCGACAAAGTTTGTTATCAGCCTTGGCGCTTATGTTACGGACGGCTCATTGGAGACTGCAGTTGCTGTATGATAAACATACGATCTCCTTAATTGAACAAGGTTCTCGGGCATTGCGATCTGACATGTTCTAATTTGATGCTCCGCGAGGGCGATAGAGGTGAGCATCGTGCGTTTCTTGATGTCTTTGTTGCCAAACTTTATGTTGCCGCCAGTGACTTCCACAACGGGAAGCCCCGGACATAGGAGCTTTGTATGAATCTACACAAATACCAAGTCAGCATCCAAATTGACGCACATCACGCTATAGACTTAGCAGCCTATCACCCTAATCTTGAACAGGGGTCCGTATACAAAGAATAGAATCGGTATGCTGTCTTCTTTCGAACTCGTGGGGTACACTAACACGTGATGTGGCTCCGATCACTATACCGGATCAAGATTTGAACTCATATATTTCTGCCTATATTCATTGTTTGTACAAGTCGTTTATCAATCAAAGTTCAGTGCTTGTCAGTGGGATGAAAGGTAAGTCGCGACATGGTCCGAGTGCTCCTTGAGGAGAAAAAAAATTGCATTGTGACTATGTAGGCAGTAAAGCTCAAAGAATTGCTAAGATAGATAATGTGTTGCTCGCAGGTCGTGGTAGTTTAAACGATATCCGAAGTCGGTGGTTGTGTTGCGCCTTCCTCTCGAACTCACGGTGTTACCACCTCTTTCCTTGTCGTCCATGCCACCGCACTATATTGCATCAAACACTGTCATCATCACCTCTGTGCCGTCGACGAAATTTTCCACGAAAACTAACATCTCGCAAGCCTTGAATGCACGCCTCTGGACAGTGAAATGTGCGGTGTTCAAAAATTGCCACTTTGGTCATGAGACAGTACGAGACGCTGATCATTTATTTTCCCCGCGTTATTTCTCCACAATTCCTCCACTGAAGTGTAATTGACCCCTCCGCACACTTTACAAAGCCGGAAATGACCCTAACTTGCTGACCAGCTTTTAGCCTGAAATACGGCTTTTTCTATTCGATCTCAGACACTCGGTTCGAATTGTCGCGATAGATACTACCCTAATCAGACTACTGACGTATCCATGTTTATTGGAACTGAAGATTTTGGCAGAGTATAAATTGCTTGCAATGAGGCGGTATGGACCTCGAAGGCTCTTTGCGACACTTGGAACGTGGCTATGCGATTGTTATTCACAACGTTACTTTGGGCCATCGGTGGAGCCCTCGCTGAGGACGGCTCCCAGGGCTGGCTACGATATGCTCGGATCCCAAATGGAGCATCCGCTCAATCGGTACCATCAACAATCATCGCACTGAATAGCACACGGATCAGTCCCGTGTATACAGCCGGTCAAGAACTTCAAAGAGGTGTACTAGGCACCACCAGCAAACAACTCAAAGTGAGCACGACCGCCAGCCAGGATCAGTCAGCCATCATCGTCGGAACTACCGAAGCTTATAGCAAGGCATACGGGAATATTGGCGAGTCTAAGGATCTGGAAGATGATGGATTTTACCTCAGTATAAACCCAGGAAAAGTCATCATCATCGGCCAGAACGAGCGCGGTGCTTTGTACGGCGCATTCGAATACCTCTCACAGCTCGCACAGAATAAGATTACATTCGGATCCAAAGTGTACAACCCTCAAGCGCCGATTCGATGGGTTAACGAATGGGACAATCTTGATGGCAGTATTGAGCGGGGCTATGCTGGCCCATCAATCTTCTTCCGGAACGGTTATGTAGTCGACAACACTACTCGTATCGCTGAATACGCCCGACTACTGGCGTCCATTCGCGTAAACGGCGCCATTATCAACAACGTCAACGCAAATGCTGCTCTACTCAACGATCGCAACGTAGCCGGTCTCGGCAGGATTGCAGATGCTATGAGGCCATATGGAGTGCAGATTGGTATTTCACTCAACTTTGCATCTCCTCAGCAATCCCTGGGCACTTTCGACCCACTCGACCCCAGGGTCGATGCCTGGTGGATGAACATCACTAATAAGATTTACTCAAAGGTCCCAGACATGGCAGGCTACTTGGTAAAAGCGAATAGCGAGGGCCAACCTGGACCGCTGACGTACAACCGCACTCTGACAGATGGAGCGAACATGTTTGCAAGGGCTTTGAAGCCTCATAGTGGAGTAGTCATGTTCCGCGCTTTTGTATACGACCACAAACTCAATCCTGCAAATTGGTACGCGGACCGGGCAAATGCACAACTCGAGTTCTTCCAGCATCTCGACGGAAAGTTTGATGAGAATGTCGTCGTGCAGATCAAATTTGGGCCTATCGACTTCCAAGTCCGCGAGCCGCCATCCCCATTGTTTGCATCCCTGCGTCACACTAGCACAGCCATTGAGCTCCAGATAACACCCGAGTACCTGGGCCAAAACTGCCACTTGGTATATCTTGCACCGCAATGGAAGGAAATTCTAGACTTCGACATGAGGGCCGAAAACACCGAATCAAGAGTCAAGGACATTGTCAATGGAAAGCGTTTCAAACGACCAATAGGTGGATATGCTGGCGTCTCTGGCGTTGGTTCCAACACGACATGGCTGGGAAGCCATCTTGCCATGTCGAATTTGTATGCCTTTGGACGGCTAGCCTGGGATGCGTCCAGTAGCTCGGAGACGATTCTCCAGGACTGGATTCGTTTGACGTTTGGATTCGACCAGGCCGTTCTTGATACCGTCACAGACATGTCTATGAAGTCATGGCCCGCATACGAGAACTACAGTGGCAACCTTGGTATCCAGACACTGACGGATATTCTCTACACCCATTACGGGCCCAACCCAGCTTCTCAAGATGGCAACGGCTGGGGTCAATGGACGCGCGCTGACGGCTTGGGTATTGGCATGGACCGCACAGTGCGAAATGGTACTAAGAATGCCGGACAGTACCCGCCCGAGATTGCACGGATATGGGAAAACATTGAGCTGACTCCGGATAATCTTTTGCTTTGGTTCCACCATGTGCCATATACGCATCGGTTAAAGTCCAATAAGACGGTTATTCAGCACTTCTACGATGCGCATTATGAGGGAGCGCAGACGGCGCAGGAGTTTGTCCGCCAATGGGAGTCTCTGGAGGGTAAGATTGACAAGGAGCGGTTCGAGCAAGTCTTGTTCAGACAGACGTATCAAGCTGGACATGCGCTCGTATGGCGCGACGCCATCAACCAATTTTACTTCAATCTGTCGCGGATACCAGACGAGGCCAAGCGAGTGGGCAATCACCCGTACCGGATTGAGGCAGAGAGCATGACGCTGCAGAATTACAAAGCGGTCGCAGTGAAGCCATTTGAGACGGCGTCTGGATTCAAAGGCATTGTAACGGCATCGAGTGGGACGACTGGTGTAGCGAAAGCCAAGGTGCCATTCGCGAGCGGGAGGTACAATGTGGCGGTTAACTACTGGGACGTGATTGGCGGCAGGGCGAAGTATCAGCTCAGTCTGGGGAACCGGACCGTAGGATCGTGGACGGGCGACCTGGAGGACAAGCTGGGCCACGAGCCATCCGCGTATCTCGATGGGCACTCAGCGACGAGGATCACGTTCCGGAACGTGTGGGTGGAGCGGGGAGAGGAGGTGCGCATCACTGGACAGGCAAACGGGGCCGAGGCAGCACCCGTCGACTATGTTTCCTTTTTGCCATCGGGGATTGTTGACTGAGAGGACGGGGACAGGGAGACAGGGAGCAGCAGGATAGATAATGGCAGATTAATGAATTTGGTCGCAATCGCACCGAGATCGCATACACGGGGGCCGTCGGGAGGCCTTGGCGTCATTTCCCCTGCAGGGATGCCCTGTGCGCTTCCCGTTGCGCTAAGCCTGATTTGGCGACAAATCCCCTTTTCCCTTCTCCGCCGACATGGACGGGCAGCCCACGACAGTCGCCGCCGTTGGTGGTTTGGCGACGGCCCAAGGCTCACACGACATGCATCCGTCGATGCCTGCGTGTTGCCTTAGTGACTGTCACTGTAACACTTGCGCTGCGAGGAAAAAAGCAACACCCCCCAGCTTGTGTGTGTGACGCTCACCCCGACCGCCCAGCGCCGCAACGTCTTTGATAAACACTGGGCTGAGCCACTTCGCCGTCACACCTCTCTCCCCTCTCCTTTCCCCTCGCCTCCGAGCCCACCTTAGGCCACCGAGTATCCGGCGGGCACGCAAAAGCCTGGGATCCGTGCCGTACGCCGTTGCTGCACAATGTGACAAGCCCTCCGCCTCGACCAAGTCTTCCCAACTCATAGCAGCGCCTGCTGCCACTCTTCCAAAAAAAAAGTCTCTCCGGCTGCACCAGCAATCCCTCGGTGCCTTGTCTACCGCACTTGCAGCCTCGCCACAGCACCGCGAGTTAATGGCGCGCCCGAGTACGGTCGCCGCTCGATGCGCAGCGCTAGGGACATCGATCGCCCAGGTTAGAACTGCTTTGCATATTCATCATCCCACCCCTCACGCTAATATCCGATTCAGATCATCCCGGACATCAGCAGTTTTGCGCGCAAAGTCCGCGATGCCAGACATGATCTCAATGCCATCAATACCAATCTGATCATTATCAAAACGGGCCTAGGCGTTGCCCAGGATGACTTTTCGACAAAGGCCGCTGGCCTGCCCCAATCTCTTATTGACGCAGTAACACGCGTCATTGATTCTTGCGACGACACCAGTGATCGCCTTCAAAAGGCCTTTCTCAAACTCTCTTGTAGTGCAAACCCAAGGGAGGATTGGCAGGACCTTCGAGACGGGCCTTTGGTTAACCTTCGTCACGATCTGGACGCCTCAAAAGTCATCCTGGAGCTGTCTCTGGACTATCTCGCCCTGTAAGTGCTGCCATTCCCTGTGAGAGTTTCCAATGCCAAGGTTGCTTACGACCCACAGATTCGGTCAGCAGGATACTCTGGACGCTCTGCTCCAGAATTATGTCAGCGATCTGATCACTCACAGCGATGATCTCTTGAAGCGAACAGATACAGATGAGATTCATGTTAATCAAACAGCACGGGAAACGCTTTCTGCGCTACTTCAGGCTGTTCGCTTACTCCGGTCATGCATTACAGCCGTGTCAAAAGAAGGAACCCCAACGACAACAACGCAACCAGCAAAGAGATCAGTAATCCCGCGGCCAGATTCGTTAGAGCCCGTTCTGGGCGAAACGCCTCGAAGCGGAAGGAAGAGTCCCAATGGTAGAAAGAGTCCGAGTGCCCAGAGTTCGTCCCATGCGAGCATGAACGACAGTGGCATTGGTACATGGCTCGCCAATGTCCCGTCGTTTGAAGATACGCAACCCCTCTCGTATTCCAACATTGAGCAATCGTCAATGTTGCGTCTCGTAGTGCCCTCTTTGCAGGAGCCCGTTACCCCATCACGCGGTACCTTTTATACTGAAGACTGCGCCTCCTCCGCTCAAACCCTCGTGGCACCAGAATCGCGACTGAAGAAGTCGTACAGCTGGTGCACCGACTTATCAGGAAAGGCAAGCACCCGATTACAGCTCGCATCGAGCTATGCATCCAGACACGCATCCAAATATGCGTCCATTGTTTCTGGCTCGGATATATCAATTATCCATAAGAAGATCACCTCGGATCGGATAGCCGTTACAAAAGGCAAAAGAAAAGAGTTGGAGCCCCGCCAGAGGGAGGCCGTTGACCGCATCCTAGCAAACATACCTGCAGAAGCAACAGCTGCTGAAGTAGAAAGAGTCATTTGGGAAGGCGCGACTCCAATGGCACCACATCCCGAGTTTGGATACTTCTTCATGAGAGCAGCCTACGAAATGTCCACGGAGATACTGCCTCTTCTAACGGAGTTTGGAGCAGATATCACTCGGAAAAACGTCTCACCAACGTCATACTACACCGTTGTGCATGCCGCCACATTAGGATGTCAACTCGATACAGTACGTTACCTCGCTTCTCAGGGTCACTCACTCGACACGCCCGACTTTCACGGTGAAACTCCCCTTCACCTCGCTCTCCGAACGCCTGGAGCGTCGGCAATAGCAAAGTACTTAGTAGAAGCCGGTGTGGATGTCAACTCGGAATCAAGGGCTGGACAAACGCCGCTACAAGTAGCTCTCAAATCAGCTGGACTGGAACCTCGAGACCGAAGCGTGTTGATTGCGCTACTCATTGCACATGGAGCCGAGGGCGAGGCAGAGGTTAAGAGAGTAATGGAATGCAGGAGGGGTAATGAGAAGGGGAAAAGCGTTCTTGGACTAACTTGACATTGAACAGGTAGTCCATGATTGGGTCTCACATAATTTTTTCTTGTGTAATGTTCGTCACGCGACTGTGTCGCCCAAACTAAATAGCATCCTGGCCGCATCTTTCTTGGATGGGCTTCGCATTTTTTATTGTACATTGGATTTAGGCTAGCGAGGGGCAAACATGGACAGATACCCAATATTCTCTATTGCAATATCGCTGTTGGCATATTTACGGGACTCAGGAGCGATACCTGGACCAAGCCTCGCCTGTATTTTAGAAGCGGCTATGGTTATACTGGCGACAATAAAAATTGGCTTGGAACTCTGATTTTAATTTTATTTTCTCTTAGACAGTATAGAAATTTAAACAAAGCTCAGCGATTATGAGTCGTTTCCGCAATGGGTCCTACAAAAAAGAAAAAAACATTTTAAATTAGCAGTACCAGAGCATTACTCATGAGTATGCGCGATGGATGTGCGGCGGAGTCAGCTATTGGTATGAAGTTGAATCATGTAAAGTGATGCAACTCGATGGCGTATCATGATGCGTGGGGAAAATTACTGCGTTTGGAGTAACATTGACAAATTCGCCTTGGATTTAACTCATATTGACGATATTGTGGGGTATTAGTAACGTTCACGATACTGAAGGCGGAGCTAATCGCTGACCCCGCTACTAACTAATCATGCTCCACTTGCCATCGGGCAACTCCGTTATCATTGCGACAGATATTTCGTCGCTGATGTTCATTGCTTTTTTCTTGGGTTTCAACTCGACTTTTCAGAAATATGACCGACAAAGGAATAGACACGTACATGATGTGGGTGGGGGGCAAAGAGGCAGAGGGTGGAGCAGAGCAGTCAGTTAACGAGGCACAGTGAAGACTGATCATAATCGCTAACAACACCACAGGCTGCCCATTGAAGATCCAGCGACTGGCGAGATATTTGCACACTGCCATGCGGCATCTGCAGCCAATGTTGATGATGTTGTCAAAACTGCTCATCGAGTCTTCAAATCTGGAGTGTGGTCGAAAGCCCCGCGTCATGTCCGCGCAGACATTCTAGACCGCATCGCCACACTGCTGACGGAGAACCTCCCGCGATTGATTCAACTAGAGGTCCGGCAAACCGGGCGCGCTATCCGCGAAATGAACGCTCAAGTTCCGACCCTTACCAAATGGTTCAAATACTATGCTGCCCTCATACGGACTGAGGAGCGCTCTGTGTTGCCCACCGTTGGTAAACTCCACAACTGGATTGATAGAAAGCCTCTCGGAGTGGTTGCGCAAATTACGCCGTTCAACCATCCAATGCTGATTGCTGTCAAAAAGATAGCGCCTGCACTGGCGGCTGGAAACTGTATCGTCTTGAAACCAAGCGAGTTGACTCCGCTCACAAGTGTTGAGTTGGGAAAACTTATGAAGGAAGCCGGTTTGCCGGACGGTGTATTCAACGTACTGCCTGGCGATGGTATCACAACAGGCAAAGCTCTAGTCCAGCATCCGTTGATCAAAAAGGTTGATGTGACAGGAGGCACGCCCGCAGGACGCGCCATAGGAGCTATCGCAGGAGGAAACCTTGCACACTATACTGCCGAACTCGGCGGCAAAGCACCTCTGATCATCTTTGAGAAGGCACATTTAGATTTAGCAGTCAACGGTGTAGCGTTTGCTAGCTTCATCGCCAGCGGCCAAACATGTGTAGCAGCAACTCGAATCATTGTACAAAACAGCATTCTTGATGAGGTTGTAGCAAAGCTCAAGGCCAAGGCACAGAGTATCGAAAAAAGGATGGGGTCACCCAAAAACGTTGAGTCGATGATGGGTCCACTCATCTCCAGGAAACAGCTCGCTAACGTCGAGGCGCTGGTCGACGACGCGAAGCAAGCCGGGGCTACGGCCGTATTTGGCGGAGAGCGCATGAAGGGCGAGTCATCGTTCGACGGCATTGACTTCTCCACCGGCTACTTCTATCCCCCTACCATCTTGACCAATGGAAAATTTACAAAGATCGTTGACACGCGTATATGGAGAGAAGAAGCTTTTGGTCCCGTGATCGTGGTCGTCGGCTTTGACACCGAGGACGAGGCCATCGAGCTCGCAAACGACAGTGAATTCGGGCTGGGCGCTGCCATCTGGACACAGGACTTATCACAGGCGTTCCGTGTATCGGAAAGCATCGAGAGTGGCATCTGCTGGGTCAATACACATCATCGTAACGACCCGAGTTCGCCCTGGGGCGGCATCAAGAGCTCGGGTGTGGGAAGCGAGAATGGTGTTGATGCGTATAATGCGTATACTACGTCCAAGAGCACGATTGTCAATTATGCGACAGCGGAAGAGGGCCTGATGAGCGATGATTGGTTCAGGGAAGGTACGGGTGAGGTGAGGTATGGATAGTTTGGAGACAAGGATTGCCTTCACAGTGGGATCGATACCTCTATGTTGTGTGCTATACGGTTGGATTTAGTGTCTAGAAAGCGGATTACATATGCTATTCTATCTTTCCATTTGCAAATTCTTGAATCATACGGCAAGCTCGCGTGCTGACTTTTAACCCCCATCACCGGACGCAAGTTTAGGTAACAGTGACATCATTAGCATCAATGTCCGTTTTTAAGCTAGCCAACATAAGAGTTTGATTATTAATTTCATAGCCTCGGATGAACAGAAAAGTTGGTATCGATTTAAGCTGAGAATAATCGAAGATACAATGTATTGTCTGGTAGTAGGATCGTCAGCCACGCAAACTGTTAAGATACTTGCAGTGATATTCCACTTCCAGATTTGAATTTGTGTATTGCTAATGTAACGACAACGCTTTCATCCAGAACCTTGCTCGACCATGCTCTTCACATATTTCCACCTTCAACTCTCAACTAACACTAAACCTCGCCCTCTGCCGTACGACCCCAACATGCACCTCCTCGCCCCCTCTATCCTGCCCTTTCTCAAGCATCGCAGCAATCTTCCCCAACACCCCACTCGCAGCAGGACTAAGATGAAAAGGAAAACACTCATTCTTCACAACCTTCATCTCCATATCCCTCACCCCTTCCGCATTCTCACATACATCACTCACCCTCCACCGCCCCAAATGCATCAACCCACCATCCCGCAAATGCCGTAGCAAAGCGCCCAGAGCCCGCGACTCCCCCTCAAGCACCGCATCACCTTCCCTGCTCTTAACTAATAACCTAATCCCATATCTAACCCGCTCCTCATCTCCCATCATCCCCGCATCCCCTTCTTCTGCGTCGGGATCACAAACCCAACACCCCTTATCCGCACTGCGTCCTAACCACTCTACTTCCCGTCCCAGCAGCTCAAACACCGCAGACGTGATATACGCATCCGCCCCTGATGGCCGTCTCCCAGGGTCCTGCGGCGTGAAGATGATACGGGATGCCGGCGGTGCAGGCCGCGGCGTTAAGTTGAGAATCGGGATGTGAGATCCCGTAGCCGGTGAAGTTGTGGTGTAGAACTGGGATCGGGATCTACGGGACGAGGTGAAGAGTGAGCGGCGGATCTGGCGTTTGAGGGCTTGTAGGGCTGAGGTTTGGAAGGTGCGGGTGATGTGGTGGGGGGAGTGGAAGCGGCGTTTTTTGCGGGGGTGGTCGATGTGGTTGGTGTGATCGTGTTTGTGCTTTCGTTTTTGAGGTAGGAGGGTTTGCTGGGCGAGATGGGGAGTTAGGGTGTTATTATTTGGACGATATGTGGTGTCTGAGATTTGAGGGAGGGGGACATTTGTGTCTGGTCGGCATGTGCTTCTTTTATCTATCTCTGCACCATCGTTTGTTTCTGACTGTGTGACTGTTCCGGGATAGGAAGAGATGTAGATACCTGACTGGCTCCCCCTTCTGGCCTGGATATGTGCGAGTAGTGCGTCGATGATTTCATCCGCGGTGACACCTTTTTTCGTCAGTGGACTAATGTCGTAGCCATCATCTTTCAGCAGCTTGAGCCGCACGATATTGCTGGCTTTTTGCTTCCAACTGATGCGTGACCAATCTCTGTCTAAGCTGTGGCCTTCTCGCTCGATTACTCTTTTGGCTTGCGCCTCCCAATCTGATGGTTTTTTTGGCTGTTTGGAAGGGTCGAAGGTATTGTGCGATGTGAGGGGTGTGGGTGCGGAAGAACCAGTAACTGGTGTGATGTTTTCTTCAGTCAGCGTGAGTGACTGCGTAGTATTTGGAGACAGAATACGGTTGGTGGGGTCAGCGGATGTGCCTCTTTGTTTATTTCTCATGGCTTCTATTAAGTCTTTATCTGGCCGCTGGTAGTTGGTGGTGATATTTGCTAGGGCTAGGGCACGGTTCATCTCTTCCAGGCTGAGAGTAGAGCGAGATGTCGATGTTTGTATTGTTTTTGAAGAAGCACTCGCTATCCTCTTTGATTTGAGTCTTCTGGATCGTTCTCCGTTTCTGCCTCTTGTTCGTTTCTTTGGTGGTGGGAATATCTTACGCGAGGGAAACATAGTCGCAGGCATGCTGCTTTGAGAAACATTAGAATTCATGTCTTTTTGAGTTGGGTTATCCTAAGATATGTTCGGCTTGCTGATGTGCTTTATCTCGCTCTTCTTTTTGGCCTTTTTAGATTGTTACCGTGTTTACGTGTATGCGATTTTTCTAGAAATGGCGAGACCGATGTTTTGTAAACAATTGCTGTGGTGATCAACTGATTACATGGTTGTTTGTATTCTCTAACTCACAGTGAAAGTGGGATCCTAGTCGCGTGACATTGCTGTTGCCGAGTGAAATTGCCATTTTTGAGATTGGAAACTACATTCAATACCGAAACCAAGGTGGCGATTGGGGAGGAAAAATCTATTTCTAGTGATACGTATTCCGTGTCATTCAATACTAGCTGTGTATAGCAGGGTCGTATGTGATCTTAGTAGGTGATATGTGAAAGTTACTACATGCGTAAGTGATCTGGCACGAGATGACATTACTGCGTTGGAAAGGCTATCAGATATGTATTTATACCGGAAGACGATTAGACCATTTAAATAGCAGAATACGACTCCGGTCTCGTGTTGTCAGACTAGAAGATGAGACAAATTCTAGCCAAGCTTTGCCCTAAGTATAATTCCTTGTGGTAGTTCGCGTATTACAAGCATGCTTTAGCTGACTGCATTGCAAGATGGATGAAAACGAAGGCAGGCATATGGATGAAAGTGGATAAAGAGATATCATTATAAGCAGCATTCCGATTATGAACTATAGATTTTGACCTCTCAAAGCCTTGAGATACCTGTGTAACCGTTTTCGTAATGCCATAAATGCTACTATCCCCCATCATAAGGAAACGCAACGAAGATCCAAGTTGCACTCTCATCCATATTTCCATCCATGTGTTGTCAGACCAGCCAAGCGTGGGTATGGTACCCCAACGTCTGTATCCCTGTGTGTTAGAAGGATACCCTTGACTCATTTCCTTGTGTAGTCATGCCCACAGCCATCCACCCATAAAGAAGGAACCTCGCAACCCACAAACTCGTCTCCTGAAACCCATGTATTAGTATAAACCGAAAAGACAAATCTTTTCGGATACTCACCATGCACCAGATCTACTCAACAAATGTGCTGTTCCCACCCGCAACTGGAGGTTGTATAGCCCTCGCTGTATCCGGAGCCTCGGACGAGACTCCGAACACACCATGCACGTATCTTTTGTAGGACCTCTTATTAGCAAAGTGACAAACGCGGTAATCTGATTGGAAACAGATGGTATTAATATCCATGGCCGCACAGCCGAGACACAAGCACGCAAGGAGGAAAAGCGCGATGAAGGTCTTCATGATTGAAGGTAAAAAATGGTATTGAATCAAAGCTTTAAGAAAGTCGAGGGTGTATAGTTTGTGGGATGCTGGGACAAACAGGCACCAGCTTTTGCGGGGAGAGCGAGAGATTTATGTGTGTGATTTTGGACCCTGTTTGTCGACAAAGCTCGGGAGTGCTTATGAAATAGTGAACTCATGGTTACCAGTTCTCCAATGTACAGTCTGGCTGGCCATGCGTATCTTATGTCAGAATTAGCTATTTCTGTAGTGAACAAGGGGTAGATATTGAGCTTTTTGTTAAAGGGGGAGGGGTGTGCAATTGGAGCCCAATCCGCTCCTGGACACTGAGTTGAACTGAAGCTCGCACCTAGTCTGGCAGCACGATGGTTTTTTTCGTGACAGCAGTTTTCATGGCTCACGTTACACGGTCGTGGTGGTGTTGATGCAGCCTTATGCATCATACACTCTTCATGCGTCGCACCTTCCTTCACCTTCACTCTCTGTTCATTTACGTCATTATCGTTCCACAAACTCTCCCACGACATCTCTCATGAGACCACACCCCCAACAACGTGTTTGCATGGTGTAGCAGCAGTCTATACTCTTTTCACTGCTCTGCTCTTCTATCGAGTGCCATGTCGTTCCATGCTCCAGTCGCCCGTTTGGCGTCACCTGACAGCGCGCTTGCTGCATGGATACCCAGTTGAGACAATCACTCACAACAACAATTTACGACTCAACTTGACAGGGAATCACTACACTCTCATCAGCCTGTTATCCAGATTGCTGCGAACCCAGACATGACGACACCGGGATATAATAGGTATGCGCTGTTCGCCAGCGCCGACGACAACGCGACTACTACGCGAGTCACACCACCAGACCCGAGCAAGAATCCCTTCTTGAACCAAGTCGCGGATGACTCGATACCATGGGAGAAGGTAAAGAGGCGTAGTGCTCCAGTGACAGCGTCAGTCAGCCGGCCCTTGACTGTCACCAAACACCGGACTAAAGCCGCATCTATACAACAACTTCTCAACAATGGACAGAATAGCACTGCTCCTACGTGTACTACCGAGGAAAAGCCACATGATCCGCATGAAAACTGGTGTGGCGTCTGTTCTCTCAAACTCCCAAACAAAACAGCCTTACAGAACCACATCAAACAGTCGCCGAACCACCAAAATTACTGCAACCTATGCAAGCGCGTGTTCAAAGACAGAAACGGCCTCAAAAACCATGTCGACAACTCGCTCGGTCACGAGACGTACTGCAACCTATGTCTCTCGGCATTCAAGGACCAATGGGGCCTCAAGAATCATTTCGAGAACAACTATAGCGTCGGACATGAATTCGTCTGTCTGACTTGTCTCACAGGGTTCAAGACGAGTGCAGAGTTGGACCGCCATCTGCAGACGGCCGAGAAGCACACGTGGTGCCAAACGTGTCAGCGCCGCTTCCGTAACCAGGACGAGCGCGATGAGCACTGGGTGAAGACTCTCAGTAAGCAACCGAATGCTTCGTATATTGCAAGGGCCTTCAAAGAAGATCTTACTGACATGTTAACAGGACACAAGCACTGTCTGCAACCAGGTTGTAATTTTGACGGTCTAGACCAAGCTTCACTTACGGAGCATCTGAGACGCGACCACTTCCAATGCCAGGGATGCAAACGCATATTGCCGAGTCTGACCAAGCTCAACCAGCACTACGAGACATGTCTATTCACACTGTCCTGTCCACAATGCGGCGAAAAGTGCGCGGGAAAAGCTCAGTTGGAACTTCACATGACGCACTGTTTTCGATGTGAAGAGTGTGACTTTCATACCTGTCACAAGGGCAACTTTAACATTGTAAGCAAGGACACTGCATCACTTGGTCCTATGAGAAATGAAGAACTAACAACATCGCAGCACATGACGAAGCACAGCTCCGCCGACCTGGTATGCTGGGGCTGCGACGCCCCCATGCGAAAATACTCAAGCCTCATCAACCACCTCGAGTCCGGCAATTGCCCCAAGCTAGGTCAAGCCACGCCTCTGATGCGTTGTCTGGGCATGTGGTGGTACTCGCCGCTCTACATGGATCTCGATTTGCACGCGCATATTCGGACTGGTCGGGTGGACATTCACAAGGTGTGTGAGTGGATGAGCGAGGGCGCATTGCACCCTTTTCTTTGCCGCGACAAGGAGTGCGGCAAGACGTTTAGTCAACTCAGTTCACTGTTGCTGCATTGTGAGAGTACGGCTTGTGGGTGGGATGTTGATCGGCTGAACATGCCTGGACTGGAGAAGGAGTTTAAACAATGGTGTTTGAGGAGGGATAGTGGCACCTGCCCGCTGTAGGCCTCACAGCCTAGTACTAGTGTTTGGTATTTCATGTAAAGGAATCATGGTATGAGGCATGGATCTGTCCTGTTAGCCTACAAGGAATATGTACTTGTGAGATGGCACTCGGGTTAGAGCTAGTCTGCGTCATTCGTCTCATTGAGAAATATTTCCATTAGAGGCCGAGTAATCTATTAAAGCTCAACCACGGATTGTGACTATATCAAGGATTCGCCAGCGCTAAACATGCATCAACTGCAAGACCAACCCTAATCATAGTCAGTAAGAATGCATCTCGTTGTTTCGAAAGTTCACTTTGTGAGCTTTTGAACTTACCGTCCTTCCTTCTGCCGCACGACATCGTCAATAACATCCTTGTCCAGTTGTGGAAACATATTTGTTAAAGTCTCAACAACTACTTGGTGCTCCCTCCGCTGAATCCGACGTATCTCTTCTGCCTCTGCAGACGCGCGTTTCGCCGCTGCCTCTTCGGCCGAGGCCTTCTCCCTGTGCCGATTCTCGTCGTGATTTTGTTCGTGTTCAGGAGCCTCTGCCCTTGAACGCGCGGGCAGTTGCTGCTGCTGCTGCTTCGATGGTGTGGTTTGCCCAGACGACTGGTGGGTATCGCTGTCGGAGAAGATGCGCCCAATTGTGCTGAGTGGGCGCTGTATAGTGCGCAACAAGCCTGCTACGGCTGCATTCTCTTCCTCGGGCTGTTCAGCTTCGGACTGATTGTTTTTGACGCTTGTCGAGCGGCGTGGTCCTGCAGTTTCAGCCTCCATTGAATTCCTCTGAGTGAGTTCGGGCCGCAAGGGTGTCGTCTTTTCTTGTATGTGGTGGTAGTGTGGCGAGGGCATGCGCTTATGGGTAGGGGCATTGGGGTGTAACTGGGTAGAAGCAGATGATGGCTCGGCTTCTTCGGCAGCATGACGCTCAGCGATAGCCGACACTGCTGCTTCGACATTCTTCTCAAATTCTTCGTCGCTGACTGTTAGTGAAGTCTTGTCTAAACCTTCGATAAACTGTACAGCACCCATTAACGACGAGATGTAGTAGCCTGCTTCGCCACCGAGCTTCTCCTGGTTGCGGAACCGGAGGATGTATTGTACGTTTGAGACAAGATGCTCTGGGTTGGCCTGTAGCACAGTGTAGATGAGCAACGGTATAAACGCATCGGCAGACTGGTCTGAATTCGATGTCCGTAGAAAGCCAAAGATGACTTTGCAGCAGTTCAGAATGCAGATAATTTTGTCTCTTGGTGCTCGGTAGCTTTTAATCTTGAGTAGCTCTTGTTGGGCCAGGTGTAGGAATTTCTTCCCTTTTTCGCCAATGGGTTTGATATCTAAATGCTCTTCTTTGACCCACTTGTAGATGCGAACTTTCTGTGCAAGGATCTCATCGCGT